ATTTAATTATTTTTTAATAAATCTTCTTTATAATTACAAAATGCTTTGCAGCAGGTTTTAAACTTGAAAATAAAAAGTAACAAAAATGTATTTATTTTGTAGGCTAGCATAGTTGCCAGATGTGCAATAAAGTATAGCGTTTGCTTTTGGTAAGTACCCCAAAAGTTTGAATTGCAAATTCCTCTCATAATCATCATTTTTGAAATGCTGAGGGCATATTCGCACGACAAAAAGCATTCTCCCATAGCTTGGACACGTTCTACAGTAAACTTTCCAACCACCAAATGCAAAATGCTAAGTTGTTTGCCTACAAGATTCCAAACACACCCAAACGGATTCACCCCATAATTCATTGAATGATACAATGAATTAATTGTTTCGTTTGGCTCTACCCGTTTTTACGAATGACACTCTGGCAACACAGCAAGCTAAAACGCTGAAAATCAGAGATTTTGTAAATACTTTTTTAGGGTATTTTTCTTCGCACTAAGCCCAAATCAGGTTACAAACGCGATTTTAAAAGCATTGAGCTATACATTGCAAAGTATATGAGTATATAACTTTCCACTTTTGAACTATTGCGTTTTAAATTCAATGAAAATCTGTCTAGGTTACATGCATTTTAAGTAGGATCAGCTGTTCACTTTACCAAAGTGCTAACCAGTGACGTCATGTGCGCACGAAAATCGAGTTTCCGTCCGATTAATATCCTACCTTGTATGCATTGTATCATGGGAATATACTTAGTATTAGCTTTATTCGCCGTGACGATTCACAACTGGTTCGGAACTGATCGCATGCGCGAAAAAAATTAGTCGTTCTGAACCGAAAGTTCTGTCTACAGTAGGGTCTGGTTCAGAACCCGTTCGTTACGGGTTCTAGGAATTCTAGGATTAAAGGAAAGACCAGCGGTTCTGACAAGCGCAGAACAATCAAATAATTGGGTTCGCATCAGCACTAGCGCTGGTCGGAATTTTAGAGCTCCAACTCAATCAATTTTCAAAAAAAAACACTCAATTTTTCGGGTTTTCCTAAATTTCTCAGAAACTAATCATCGCATTGGGGTATTCCGATTGCTCCATTAGTTTCCAAGTTATAAACAAAAAAGACAACATTTTTTGCAATAAATTGTTAATAGCTAATATATGGACCGGAAATGCGAGTGTAAAACACTATCTATTCATCCGCTCATTATCTTTTATATCGTCGCACAATTGGTTTGCTACTAGTATTTTCACGATAAAGCATTTTTAAATACAACCGGTTCACTGCGATTTTAATGTAGACCCTATCTAATGTCGCCGCAGTGACAATCGATCGATTATTAATCCGGATATCATTATGCGGTTTGCTTTCCGAAGTGTTTGCTAGATATCATAACAAAGGTCTTAGATAGAGGAAAGTAAATTAATGCCTTGGTGGGTCTATATTCAAATTAAAAAATATTTTTCAGTTGGAGACACTTTGTCATAAGAAGTCAGTGGCGACCTTTGTAACCTTCAGTAGTGAAATTTAGTGAGTAAGAAGTGGTCAAAAACCACTCCACAAGAAACACCACTTTGAAAAGTCGTTAGTAGAACGATTATCTATAGTGAGTATATTGTTAGCTTCACACCCATGAGCTAGAGCAACTAGAAAATGACCCAAAAAACTTGTTAGTAAAAGAATATCGACAAGGTCTGCTATTTTAGGTAATAAATTCGAACGCGATTGGGCTATAAACTAGCCAATTCCGATTTTAGTTGCTATAAAAAATACTGTTCTATTTTCTATCCGCATAAATATATAGTCAGTCGGTAATTCTGATACAAAACAGCTTATATGAGATGCGCATATTGTTATAGTTTATTTTTCTAATTATTTAGACGAGTAAATCCTGCAATTTTCAAAATGTAAAAAAAATATGTTGCTGTGGGGAAAATCTGAGTGTATGGCACATTAGAACTTCACATAACATTGCATACTTCCAATTAGTTAATTACTAGTCATACACGGAATGAACTTACATTTACATCAGCTCCAACAGTAAGTAAGTACTCCATAACAGCTCTTTGGCCGTAATCTGCTGCATATAAAATTGAAGGGCGTCCATCTACTTCCTGATTAACGTCTATATGCTACGAAAAAACATTAGTAGCTCATTAAAAGGTTTAACGTTCAAGCATTTTATGCTTCAGATTTGAAGAATCAATCATGAGTCATTTGCTGAAAAACATGTAAACGTAAGGAATGATTTGTTTTATTGAAATTACCTGTTTCTCTACAATTAGCTTCACTTGTTCTAAATCTCCATTCTTGATTGCCCACACGAATTCCCTACTCATGTTTATTGTTTTTATAAATATTTAAGATATTTTACAAATAATTGGAAAAAGCAATTTGCTTCTCTGAAAGTCTGACATCTAATCTGACACTTCTAACTTTTCAATTCTCTTCTTTTAAATTTGAATTCAATACCTCCCATTCAACGATGCCAATTCGGATCTGTCAAAAAGTAAAGGACTGACCACGTTTTCGTGTTGTATAATATTATTGTATTAGGAAATACAGTGATGCTATATTAAATGAAATATTCCAAGTTTTTGCAACTACTTGCAACATTTTTACTACAACGAAATACAAACTAAAAGAAAAGAAGAAAATAAATATATTACACGAATACACATGAAATAAGAGAAATAGTAGCTATAAATTATCAAATAACGATATGGTAATTAAGAACAGCAAATCCATTTTTGCATAAGAAATTCACAAAATCCCGCATGGTGACAAGTACTAATAATAAGTGAGCACGTTAACATAAAAGAGTCTCAAAATTGTGTCCAAAAATCCTCCATACCACAGGCATGGACTGTGACCCGCGGGTGCACTTGTTGGGAAAACTAGTAATGGGGAAGACTCAACTGAGGAACGATCCTATAGAAAAAAAGAAAGAACAAAAAGAAGAAAACAGGTTAGGTTGGTCTGGCGGATTTTGTCATTTTGTGTTGGTGTAGCAGCCGCAATTTAGGGAAGTGGTCGGAAGTCTAAAAAATATCTAAATTATCTTATTTAATTTAGTTATGAGCGAATGAAATATATTGATTTTCGCTATTTTTGTTGACACAAGCAGCGACCAGAATGGTAAGCAAATTACATTTTCATTAAAATTTCGTTTGGTTGTTGAGTTTGTTTGTCGTTATTGCTCAGTTCTATTAACTCTAATCAATCATATTTTGTAAGTACTTTCATATGTATGGCCTCGTGCTTTAGCTTTGTGGCGGAGTATATTTGGAAGCTATAAAATATCGTTCAATTCAATTAATATAATTTTAGGATCAATCGCAAGGTTTTGTTGCTCCTCCAGGCATTGGAACGCCTCCACTGATGCCTCAGGTAAACGTTTTTCTTGCGATATAATGCATATCTCATAGACGCATTGATAAGTATTCTTTCTTTACTTATGTAGGTACCGATTTCTGGTATGTCCGGATTTAGCCCGATTATCCCAGCCCCATTCAGTGTGCCACCTCCAGGATTTGGTGCTCCTGCTATACCTCCTGTCTTACCTTCACTTGGCGGTTCAATCAGTGAGTGGACTGAGCACAAAGCACCTGATGGTCGAACATATTATTACAACATTGTTACAAAGCAAAGTAGTTGGATAAAGCCGGACTGTTTAAAGACACCAGCAGAGGTAAATATTAATTAAAGCACCACGGTTCATTTGCTGCAAGAGAATATGCCGTTTAAGGAAGCAATCACATGCCACTATAAATAGACACCCTCTTCGACTTATTCGTGTATGATTTTAGAAAAAAAAACCATTTGATTCAAAAAGTAAAGAGCTTTCTAAAAAATCTTAAAAAAAAACAGTTGTCTTCCGGGACTCCATTGAAGTTAATTCCACTAAATTAAAGCAGGTCTGTTTGTAAATGGTAAATATTTTTCATATCCTAATATAAAATTTCTATGGTATTGTTGGCCAAAGTTTACTTCACTAATATAATCTTAAATCGAAGAAGTCATTTCCGATTTCTCGTTGTAGCGACTTAAAGTGCACATTTTTTTATTTAAATGATATAAACAAAATTAATTTAATGCAATATCGAGCAGATAGAGTTATAATATTGTTTGTTATAGGTGGAATTGTGTCAGTGTCCCTGGAAAGAATTTACTGCTGAAAATGGAAAAACATACTATCATAATATTAACACAAAAGAATCACGATGGATTATACCACCCGAATTGGAAGAGATCAAAAAAAGGGTTACAGAAGAGTAAGTACAGAAAGTAGTAAAGTTGACCATATTTTCGGAATTTTTTTTCAAGAAACATTTTACAATGGGCCTTTTGCATTAAATTTATTTTTTATTAAAATCATACTAGAATACAAGATTTGTTGCAAATAAATACACTGCAAGAAAAATAAATCCCGAAAAATAATTTGCTATTAAATAGGCTTTCAAATCTGATCAAATTGACGTCATGCGGAAACGCCATGTGATTGGTCAGACGTCACGAGACAGGCCGGCCTTCATGTAGTCCTTGTGTTCATTTAAACGGTATCTTGTCTTTTGTTTTATGATGTTGTTTTGTTCTTATCGAACCATCCACCTTTTTCGACAATAACAGTATCAGATGTACGACTACCAAAGCCGGGTGAAATAAAGGTAATTATACCGTCTGGTCTGGAAGATATCAGATATTTTATTGTATTGCATTTTTTTATAATTAGACCACGTTAAAGCTTGTTTGATTTTCTGGCTTTTGGATTTCAATTTCTAAGCATTCTATTATAGCATAAACTTTGCTAAAACGTGTTCTAAAGGGTATCGGAAGACCATTTTTTACTTTATAAGCTGGCATCCACACTATCAAACTTCGATATCCGGTTAATTGGTTCAATTGACTGATAAAATTCTACTAGCAGTAGGTACTTGTAGAAACTCCAAAATCGTCTCCTAATTCTGCAAAACTTATCAAAGCATTTTTTTTGTAATACTAAATAATGTTTACTTAAAAATTATGTATACTTGTTACCTAATTGAGTAAATTGTTTTATCAGTTCAATTATAAATAGATTTTCTGTCATTACGTCCAGTTATAATTTTGAATTATTTTGTATTTTCATAAAAGTATGTTTCGCTATAGACTTTCGATGTCCTTCATTTACCTCAACGCCAGGCTCAGAATCATCAGACCTAGATAAAGTTGAACGATATTCTTCATTCATAGCATCACTTGAGCTTGACAATCTCGATTCTGACGATACGTATATTTTTTTTTTAATTAAAATAGGGACAAAAAACTATTGTTTTACACCGAACGAATAGCTTATATCGTTCTTAATTCTTTGTGAATAAGCTATATTTCATTTTAATTTCTGATCTAAAAAAGAAACAATTTTTCGCATGGAGTTCGCTCTCGGATTTCGATTGACACGGTCTCGGACGAGCTCCCGGTTCATGACGGTTCTGACGGTGCGCTTAATAAAGTAGCTTAAATGTGTTGAATAAAAATGAAACAGAACATATATGTAGGGTTTTTAACGGATAATCGAATAAAAACAATAAAAACTTTCAAAGTAAACAATAAACAAAACAAAATAAAAAACAATAATAACTATTCATATCACATTCATGACAATATAGTTGTCTTTTTTATTGTCACCTGGTATTATATCATATTTAAATAGATTATTTTATTTAAACATCATCATCATTATCATCATCATCATCGTATAGAAGGCGGTATAGGCCTCCTTCCGTGTGGGTTGTTGTTACGTACTATTTTGGCTAGTCTATCGTCATCCATTCTGTTTACATGCAGATTCCATTCTCTTCTTCTCTTTCTTATCCATCTCACTATGTCGTCAGTTTGGCACTTTTCTCTTATGTCCATGCTTCTCTGTCTGTGGTTCAATGTGTATCCCGTTATTGTTCTTAGGACCTTCATCTCGGTTGTTCTTTGTATCCTCTTTGTTAATGGTGTTTCCGGTCTTATCTCTGCCCCGTATGTCATAATAGGTCGCACGCATGTTTTGTAGATTCTGGACTTGCATCCTGTACTGAGGTATTTATTTTTCCATATTATATGTTTAAGATGTCCCGATATTGTGGCTGCTTTGTTTGTTTGCTTTCTCACCTCTTCCTCTAGGAATCTTGTGCTCGTTATGTTGCATCCCAGGTTTTCGAACGACATGGTTTGGTCGACGATGGTACCTTTTATTACTAGCTTACAGCGCAGAGGGTCCCTAGCTATGGTCATGCATTTGGTCTTTGTATTCCAACATGTTCTCTTAATTTAGAGTGATTAAGATAAAATGTGCTGCAGAAATGTTTTAATGTTATTGATGTAATAAATATTTTAGGTCTAAACCAAAAAGCGTGCCAGTGTCACCCAAAGAAATTACAAGCCCTTTTTCAATATCTGCTTCCATTTCTCCATCAAACTCGCCAAACGTTTCAAATTCCAGTAAGTAAATAACTAATTCATTAAGTAATAAATTGTAAAGATAGTCGTTAATTTAGCTGCCAGTCCAGGTCCAAAGAGTAACGCGATGGAAGCGGCAATGGCAGCAACATTAGCAGCAATTTCCATTCCAACTCCTCCTAACCGACCTGGTAAGTTAAACTGTATTATCAGTTTGGTACAGTATGGCTAGAATGTTAGATTCTTGATTTTGCAGAAGATGATGTGTATACGTCAAATCATTATGATCGAACTGAAACAAAACCGTCGACTCCCGAACCGAAAGTATATAAGGATAAGAAGGAGGCTATGGAAGCATTTAAAGACCTATTAAAAGATAAAAATGTCCCATCCAACGCATCGTGGGATCAGTGCGTAAAAATTATTCAAAATGATCCACGGTATGAGACGTTTAAAAAACTGAATGAGAGGAAGCAGGTACTTGCTTTTTTTATAACTAGTCTTAACCATTTTTGATTCAATACATTTTTTCTCAGGTTTTTAATGCGTATAAAACACAAAAACAGAAAGACGAGAAAGAAGAACAGAGAACCAAGGCCAAGAAGTCAAAAGAACACCTTGAAGAGTTTCTGATGAAGTCGGATAAAATGCTGTCTACCACTAAATATTACAAGTGCGATGAGCTCTTCGGTCATTTGGAGGTAAAATTTCAGATTAATTCAAAGTATGCTTTCAAACCTAGCAATAACAAGTTGTGAACTGTGTTTGATCAATCTGCCAAGCATTTAAAATCTGGTCTAAACCATATGGCGTTTGTTTAGAACTCAGATGCAAAGCTTGATTTAAACACTGTTAGGGGAATGGTCACACGCACTCCCGTTGACAACTTTCATATATCAGAACGGTTGCTTGTCGTAAAGCTGGGTTCTCATGAGTCTGGACTGCGTGGTGCAGGAAAGTCCCCTAATTTTAATATTTTCCGCTTGCCGTGCGGAAGAAGGTGAAAACCTAGGTTATCTCCAGTGAAAAGTTAATGGTCGACAGTACATCCACAGATCAGAGATTGAGTCCACAGATCACAAAGACAAAAGTTTGTTCATAGGTCACTTTCCTTGTTGGCTCGGAGCTCAAGTTGTGGAGGCACGCATTACATGCAAATGCAAACTATGAAAGCTTAGTTGTCATGGGAATGTGATAGACTTGATCTCAAGAACGACTTCTTAAGGAAAGACCCATTCATCGATCAGCAAATTTTCGGTATTTTGGAAAAAAATATCGCTGAGGTAGTCACGCTTGGAGGGGCGCCATCATGCTGATCAAATAGGTGTCTACGTACACCGAGCGGCAAATTGTCCAAATATTCGGTTTAAAAATTTTCTAAAATGTAAAAAAAATTTGTCTGGTGATCCGAAGAAGGTCTAACTTGCCATTTAAATCATCTTGATAAAAATGTAATTCCAAGACACAATAATTTCTAATTGCACAATAAACATTAAATTGTCAGTCAGGTTTCTTGAAAAATTGCTCTCTGAACACATGTAAATTTGATTTGCTCCAACAATGGGATTATGTCAACAAACGGCCCCATTTTTTTGTAAATTGAGCTCCGTCTGTCCCGATGATATTGTTTCCTTGCGACTAAGTCATGAGAAATTGACAGAATGCCACTCTGCTTGAAAAAAACGGTTCATTTAAGATGTTCATCATCATCAATTAGCCATTTGTGTCCACTGCTGAACATAGGCTTCCTCAAGGCGTTTCCACTTCGGTCTATTCTGGGCTTCTTGGATCCAATTTCCGGCAATTATCTTGATGTCATCTGTCCACCGGGTCGGCGGCCTACCTACTATCTTGTCTTGGTCTCCACACCAAAACCTTTTTTGTCCATCTGCCATCGGACATACGGCCAGCCAACCGCCACGTATGTCGTGTTATATATTTTTTTATTTCCAGTGCTTTTTGTGTTATTTGCAACTTGTGAATCGATTTCTTCGCCAGAGTAGCGTTTCTGCTCCGTAGGTTTTTACGAGCAAGACACATTGTTCGTAAACTTTCCTTTTAAGGCAAATCGGGATATTCCTTTTGACACTATGTCGAAGTTTTTCAAATTCAGCACACCCTAAGTGTATTCTCCGTTGAATCTTGCAAGTTTGATTATCTCTACCTAGTCTGATTTAATATCCCAATTATTTATAATCGAAGACTTGTTCTATTTGGTATCCGACACTTTTTAATGTTCCACAAAGAACGAGGTTTGTCATAAGTTTTGTTTTCTGCATGTTCATGTTTAGGCCTACTCTCTTTGAAGCTTCTCTCAATTCATCCAACATCATTAAAATGATCTGCAATCAGTACAATGTCATCTGCGAAACGGAGATGATAGTCTCTCGCCGTCAATGTTTACACCCCTGGTCTCCCAGCTCAGTGTTATAAAAACACATTCGAGAACTGCCGTGAAAAGTTTTGGGGAGATAGAATTCCTCTGCAATCTACAGTAACTTTTCCGTATTATTCGTTTGTGTACCGGTTTTACCTTGGAGGGCAAATATTTATTTTTTGCCATTTGAGATGTTCTTTCTGAGTATCTTCATGCTTTTATTTTCTTCTATAGTTTGTGTAATATAGTAACTATCATCATTGAACTTTCTTAAATAATTTCTCACTTCCTTGGATATATCTTTATTCAAGCTTCTCAGTTGCTCTCGGATTTCTTCTTTCGGCAGTTCTCGTCTGAACCTCATGAGGTGTTTGGTACTTTGTCGAAGCTTGTGATCATTATTGTCTTTTTTCTTACAATATCGATTCTCTGCACGCTTGATTGCATTTAGTATGGTGTTGTTTACAGCTTCGATATCATTTGCGTCAATAAGGGTTTTGTCCAAATTGGCTGATACTGTTCTTAATATCTTTATTCTTATTAATTTACCTTTAAAAAACCTTAATTCTGAATATAATCTGATAAAACTCTCCTTTTTTTTCTTTTCTTTGACACCATTATGATATTCTTATCTTTCCAGAGTCTCAGTCAAAGTTTATTGTTATTGTTTATAAATGAAATAAACGATATTCAAAATTTTTACTTCACACTTTGACTGAGACCCAGGAAAGATAAGAATATCACAAGTACACGCAGTCAGGAAAATAAATCAGAATTTGCCACCATTTTATGTCCTTCCTTGGCAAGACTTAATTCAATTTTGGCTCTGACCAGTCTGTGATCGATGGTAGTATGAAATCTTTGTAGTGTTCCTATCTGGGCTCGTCCATGTACTGGGTGTCCCAAGAGTAATGGCACAAAACAAAATGGTGGATTCCTGGGGTGAAAATATGATGATTTAACACAACTTACCTTAGTCCGAAAGTTGACGGTTGCCGACCTACTGGGCGTCAAAGTTATATTTAAATTTCAGTTTTTCGTTATTCTACTTTGAACGGAGCTGCACATTTTAACGAAATTTGGTATACAGGGGTTTTTGAGCATAATAAATCCAAATCTATCATCAGATTTTGATCAACTTGTAGAAAAAAACCACCTACGGCGATATCTGGGCAAAAAAATTGTGTCATCTTATTGGTCACCCGGTATTCTGACTTCTAAGTTGGTTGGGTCAAATCGCCTATTAATTTTGCACAAAAAAGGTATTCTTAGTCGATGTCCCAACAAGCCTCTGTTTTCGAGATATTTGCGATTACACCGCAAAATGCAGTATTTTCAAAAAGAAGCCACGATAAGTATCTAAGTAAAAAAATATTCACTAAACATCATTCTTTAACAGTAGGATCTTTTTATCATAATCACTAACAATGAAACGTTCATTTTCTACTGCAATTGCTCAAAATGTCCCCCGTTAACTTCAATACATTTTGAAATGAGTTTATTGAGGAATCGTCTAATTTAAAATAACATATTTTTATTTTGAGGTCATTCGGCGGCATTCGTAATTTTATTTATCAACTCATCTCGGGTGCCTACCGTTTGATCGTACACTAATAATTTTAAATAACGCCAAACACAAAAATCTAATGGGTAAAAGTCAGGAATAGGCCAAGCCGAAGAACTTCCACGACCTATCCACCGATTTGTAAAATGTTGGTTTAGGTAATTACTAACGGCTCTAGCAAAATCGTCCTCTAATACCGGCGTAAAATTCTGTACCGGCTTAAAATGGCAAGGATGGAGATTTTCTTGCTGAAAAATCCTATGAATTGAAGACTTGCTTTCGCTAGTTGCAGCTTTCAATCGTCTTGTGCTTGTTTCTGGATTTTCTCCAAGACGAACCAGAACGTCTTCCCCCTAACGGACGGTAGATGTCTCCGAATAACTTGAAATTCGGTTGCCTCCTAATGGGATACAATTCTAATGCCCGGTTTCTCAACATTTGCCCTTATTGGTTTCATAACTATGTAGTGGATAAAGTTATAAGACCGATAAGATTTTATGGGTTTCCGAACGGTGACAGACAAAGTTATATCGAGCTCATAACAATCCGTTGGATAAGTACCTTTTTAATTCGACCGACAGAGGGAACTGCTTGATAGGGTATGTTCCATTTTTGACTGGTAGTACGGAAGGTGCGAAATACCGGTAAAAAAGAAGCGGATAGTAAAGAACTTTAACTTTTGTGCATCGCAAGCTAGATGACGCTACAAAAAACGCATTTTGATCGGTCGGTAAACATATGGTTTGAAGATGTTTAAAAAAACCGCCACAGATTTGTTGTAAAAGCTCTCGGGTTTTTATCTGAATTTAGCATAACTGTTCACTAACGGACAATGAATTCCTTCTCACAGTATATGTTTTAAGGTAGTCCTCAATAAGGTCCAATAATACACTGAAACAGTGTTTCGTTAAACGAAACCTGTCGCGAAATTCAGAATCACCATATTTGTTCATTTGGTCCATTTGGTCTCGTTCAAGATACCGTCTTGGCCCTTCAATATAACTTAGAAGTTCAATAATTTCATCATCAGAAGATGAACTCGAATTATTCATTTTAAATAATTATAAATACATTTTTATACGTTAAACAAAACAAAACTGTTATGCAATGCTGTTATGTAATAAGAATAGGTTATGTTAGGTTAGAATCGCTCTGTTGTAAAAATMAAAACAAACCCTACACGCTTGCGTCAGACGTTATGAAGCCGATATCCATCCATCTTCGAGTAGATATCTATTCGATAACTTATGGAAACAATAAGCTTTAAACAGACGTTGCGAAACACAACAGGCGTGATTTTGGTRGTTTATGAGACTCATAAGCTTATGTAACCGATATGTTGGAGTTCGGAAACCGGGCATAAGTAACGCAGTTTGCCACTGCGTCCACTAAAATTTTGATGRACTAAAAAATTATGCCTTGRCATATTAAGTAATTTAAATCAAAACTTAATTATGTAGTGGCACTAGTGTCACTTTGACAGACACCAAATAAATCCGTGTCGCTGCGTCACACTACTTGACATGCATTGTAAAATGTCCTCACAATTCTGCATTTTGCAGTTTAATCGCCAATATCTGTAATATAAAATGTAACTTTGACGCCCTGTATGTCGGTAACCGTCAACTTTCGGACTAAGGTAAGTTGTGTTAAATCATCATATTTTCACCCCAAGAATCCGTCATTTTGTTTTGTGCCATTACTTTTAGGACACTCTGTATACCTACGGAGTTCCTTCTTCTGGAAAAAGCTGTTCATGAGGTGCACATTTTGTTGGGGAAAAAAATTAATCAACATATCTCCCCTTTCGTTCCGTTCTCCTAGGCGAAAGTTGTGCAATATAGTCTCCGGAATTTTTTGTTTCCTCCCAACGGCGTTAAAGTCACGAATGTCTTCGTAGAACTCCTCAACTAGTGATGGGAACTATCCAATAATTCGATAGTTGTAATTTATATTCGAATTATTCGATGCGATGTTTTATTCAGCGATGGAAACTATCCAATAATTCGATAGTTTGACGTAGTTAATAAGTTAACTTGAAATGTAATTCATTTGAGTTGTTCGATATCAGTGTTTTATTCATTGGTTTTATAATTTACTAAACAAACTACAAAAATGTGTAATCATAAAAACAATTTAAATTTTGACATATTTTTTGGTAAAAGTTTATCGTAAATTGTATTCATTTTTATCATTCGCCATTTTTTTGTCAAAATGGACTTTTGCCAATCAAAGAAAAGGGCTGATTTCGAGTCCAAGATTTCCAAACTCCTTGGAATATGTCAAAGCATGCCCCCGAAATTTCGATTTCTTTCGCTTTTAGAGATCGCGGGTGTTGTCTATTAAACATCCTTACAATGGATTGCATAATTTCACGCTGATGAGATTTATAGGTATAAATAGCATCAGCATGTGTTACTAGAGAATAGACCGAACCTGTCGAAAGGTGACTTTGCCTGTTGGGTGACCTTTTACGTCTTACATATATTCCTAAATAAACTCATAAATTAACCTGCCTAAAATAAATCAACCTATTGACACTCGACTAGAAACAGGTAAATTGTGTCCAGCAGTTCTACACACCACACGATATGCAGGGAATTGGATTTCGATCACTAAAATTCTATTTATATTCGTTATCATGTCATATTGGCATCGTGATAATAAACAGCTTAGGTCAAACAGTACACGATGCATTTCGAATCTGAAAGATTCATTTTAAGTCACTGCATTACTTTTTTATGAACAAAGTTCACTACTACGTTAGTTCATATTAACTAGAAACCTGTATTTTCAAGAGAGAGAAGATAAGTTTGAAATTTGAACTGTCCTACGCTGCACTAGATAGCGCGGACTATTCAATGAATGAATTTATTCGAATGATTTTATTCGATAGTTGCAATCATTCATTTAGTAGTTATTCAATAATCGAAATCATTCGATAGTGCTCATCACTATCCTCAACCTCTTCGCCTTCATAGTCGGTTGTTGGAGCATATACCTAGATGATCTTTAATAGGTATATTTGATTCAGTCGAATTATTACATAAAAAAGCCGAGGGGATATGCTTTTGATGGTTATGATGTCCTTAGCATGTTTTTTTTATGTATTAGGAAACCAGTGCTTCCATCAGATTTATTAGGGTAGCCTGAGTGGTAGAAAACATGTCCAGACTTGACTGTCATCATCGATTCTCCTCTCCTCCGTATTTCGCAGAGGCCAAGAAAGTGCCAATTAATATGTGTTAATTCCTCTTCTATTTCCAAAAGCTTCTCTTCTGATGCCAATGTTCTGGAGTTGTACGTTGCAATTCTTAAAGTTCTTATCTTAATTTTTCATCTCGTGAAAGGTTTGGACGTCAAATTTTTTTCTCCCCCAGAATGATTCAGACAGGCCAACCTACGGTCGGTGCGAGATTCTGGAAAATTTGTCCTTCTCGCCTGTGGTAGTGTCGTCTTTAAATGTAACGCCATTTTGAGGGTATTTTAGCAAATAAAACGCCACGCCAAGCGGGTTGGCGAGTTGTATATTTCTCATACCTGCCACCTGGGAAGGCGTCTGATGGGGGACTAACAACCCCACTGGGGTTTGCCCCCAGAATATGCATACGGGCGTATAAATTATGCCAATCTAAGAAAAACATAATAATTAAAATGTGTGCTATAAATCTCACTCATCAAAAACAAAACTTGTTCAAAATATGATAGCTTCAGCATAATCTTTTGCATCATATAACGTGGATAAAAGTTTCGAGGATATTATAAACATTGATACTTTTAGGTGTGGCAAAGTGTAAGTGATTCCGACAGGAGAGATATTTATGATGATGTGGTCTTTGCATTAGCAAAGAAAGAGAAAGAAGATGCCAAGATTTTAAAAAAGAGGAATATGAAGAAGTTGTCTGAAGTTTTAGAGTGTATGACTAAAATTAACTATGACACAACGTGGACCGAAGCGCAGGTAACAATTATTAATTGAAATAAACTTATTTGTTGTCTTATTTTATTTCTAGACTATGTTACTAAATAATTCTGCATTTAAAAACGACGTGAATCTGCTAGCCATGGATAAAGAGGATGCTCTTATTGTTTTCGAGGAACACATCCGCCTTTCAGAGAAGGAATATTTGGAGGAACGAGTAAGTGTTGGCTTATCAACTTAGAGACAAAGAGAATTTACGGTTTGTTTTAGGAGAGGGAAAAGCGCAGACAGAAGAGACAAAGCCGAAAAAACAGAGATCAATTTTTAGCTTTGCTTGATCATTTGCATGAAGAAGGGAAACTGACGTCCATGTCTTTGTGGGTAGAACTGTATCCTATTATATCAGCAGACATAAGATTCTCGGCAATGTTGGGTATGTTGACTACTTGATTTTTATGAAAAGAGTGGTTAAAATTTCAGCTTTTCCACAAAATCTGCGAAAGTTAACTCTAGCATGCATCAGTGTCCCGAAATGGTGCGAAAAAATCAGGGGTTGATTCTACATTAAATATTATGTGGCAAGTATACAGGGTGATTCAAAGTTGGCGAGATTCCTTTTAATTGGCTATGAAACAGACACTTACAGAGTACGAAAAAAATATTGATTTTTTTTAATTTCTAGAAGATTGACAGTTGAAGATCGAATTTCAACTTTGTCATTAAGTATTGTTTTTAAATGGTCCCATCGTTGATTGATAGCCTATTGGAATACTTAACTGTTCGAAAAGAAAAATTACGATCTTTCCTTCAAATTACGAATATTTTTGATATTAAAAAAGTACTCTTCTACAATTTTTGGATAAAAAGTGACATTTTTTTTCTTACATTCTTACCATGTATGTAATATACACAGGACACTAGAACACATTAAATCTCTAATCTTCCGAGCCCCGGTACAAATTGAGCAGGAGTTAATTAGGCGAATATGAGAAGCGGCTCAAAGTCTGAGCCCAGACTGCTGCCAGGAAGTTAAACGGACAGAACTTCGAACATTTCCTGTGATTTAACAACAATTCTATCTGAGTTGATCGATATTGATCATACATAACCTTTAACAGCACTGACGGCTGAAGTGCACAGAACATCCCTGGGCAAAGTGACAAATTCCTGTTCTGTGGCAAAATTATCCTAACCTCAAAGTATTTCTTTCTTCTTTGTTTCTTTCTTTGCTTTCTGTATACCCGTGTTTACTAAAATTTGTAATAATTAAGAAGCAACATGTATTTACGTAATAATAATTAGGCAGATTTTCTTGAAAAACATTGTTGCCATCCTTCTGATCTAGTTTTTTGCAAATATCTCAGTTTTTAAAACGAATAAATTTTTTACTATTTTTCATGTGCTCCCAAAACACCCCAAGAGGAATGACGCCAATATTGAATCACCCGGTATATAACATGTTTTCCAAAATATCAAAAATAACGGAGCTACGGGGCCTCGAAAGCCTATCTCCATTTATAAATGTTGCTCAGTTATGTGAACTTGAGAAATTAGTTTTTCATGTGTCTCCTGAATTGTTTGCTCATCATTTCGCGACACGGAATTTATTCTGGTTCTTTTTAATGATCATATAATATTTATTACGTAGGTCAGACAGGTTCTACGCCTTTAGATCTTTTCAAATTCTATGTTGAAGATTTGAAATCTCGGTTTCATGATGAGAAGAAAATCATTAAGGAAATATTGAGAGAAAAAGAATTTGATGTGAAAGCTGCCACTAGTTTCGATCAGTTCGCGACTGTTATATGTGAAGATAAACGAAGTGCTTCTTTGGACGCTGGAAATGTCAAACTTACCTACAACTCGTTATTAGAGAAGGTAAGTGGAATATTTCAATGCCATGTTCTAATATTGGTATGATTGACTGATCTAATCGTATGTTAACTTCTAGGCGGAAATGAAGGAAAAGGAAAGATTAAAAGAAGAGACCAAAAGAATGAAGAAATTGGAAAATGCTTTTAAGAACCTTTTGAAAGAGTTAAATGTAGATTTTGAAAAGCCGTGGGAGGAAATAAAAGCGAAAGTTGAAAACGAGAACGAATACAAAGCGTTTGGCAGCGATTCAGATGCACAAAGAGTTTATAAGGTATGGAATTAAAAACATGTAATTAAACTGTAGACTTTTTCAACTTTTGTTGTTGTGATAATTGCAGGATTTCCAACACGAAATGGAAGAGTCATGTTCCCATCACCATTCGCGGTCAAGAAAGTCAAAGAAGAATAAAAAGAATAAGAGCAAGTACCGTAGCGCAAGTTCTAGTGAATCCGAAGATAAAGATAAGCACAAAAAATCCAAGCATAAATCTCAAAGTACCAGTCCAGCCACAGAAAGCGAGCAGGAATACGTTAACAACAAAAAGAAAAAGTCCAAAAAGAAGCACAGGAGGAAAAGCAAATCTGTAAGTTGCTAGTTTTTGCGAATAACAATTAACCCAATCTGATGTATTTTCAACTTTTTAAGTCCGTTAATAAATTTATTAACTAAACGTCTTAAAAATTAACGTTTTTATTGTTTTAACGTTTTGTAGTTTTATCAACGCATGCTTAAACAAAGCGCCTTTTAATTTTTCTTGAAAGCATGGAAACACTGTGATGTTTGAGAAAGTAATGTGTTATTTTTAAATAAAGCGTAAGGAAGACCATGTTGAGTGGTTGAAAACTTTGCAATTTTTTAAAGTACTGCATGTTAGTCAATTCGTAAATAATTAAGGACGTAAAAAAATAATTAATAACTTTTTTTTGTCAGAGTTCTCCTTCCGATAGAAACAGAAGTGGGGAAATAAGCGAAAGTGAGCTAGAAAAACAGCGTGCTCTGCTCTTAGCGGAATTAAAAGACGAGAGTGATTAGCAAACGGTTAAGACAGCATCAGCCGCATAGGGTCTGATCTCAAAAAGATAATGGCTTGCATATGATCCAGATTCTGGGTATAACTTTATATTTTTTTTAATGTTTCGATTGCTGTCCAAATTTCTACGTGCTTCTTCTGGCAGGTTCACGTTTGTTTAGCTCATTATGCCTAGGTACTTTAATATTGTAAATACTACATATTTTTAATTAATATGCCAGTGAACTGTTTGCACAAGTAAAACCTTATTGTATATAAACAGCAAAAAGGCATTTAGTCTTTTCGACACACGTAAACATTAAAATGCTATAAGGTTATGTATGTATTCGCCATGGTGATGCACTTTGTTTGCAGTGTGTCTGGTTTGGAATTCTTAAACTTCGTCAATATATTTTTATATGAACAATTGTTTAATTTTTTCCTCACTTGAGCGTCGCATCATAATGTTGACAAACCAAATCAAAAAGTTTTTACATGTAAAACTTTAGGTGGGTTAGCAATTTTTTGTCTTACTTGCTTACTTTTTAGTAATATCACAAGCAATATAACAACACAATGGCAGTGCCAAAAACAGAAAATAGAGGGGTTTCCTTAAAGGTAAGGGAATAGGGTCTTTGTAATTTTTTTTTTATTTGGTAAAATTGATTAATGACGAACAAATAAGGGTCCTTCTATTTTTTTCCTTGTTTCCTGTCTAGCCATAACAAACTTGTCAGCAATCAAAGTATAAACGCACAGAAAACCCGGCGAAATTACGTGGTTTTGTCTAAGCGTTATGTGTAGTGATGAGCAAAGCAAGACCAAGACTTGCATGGTCTTCGTCTTGGTCTTGTTCTTGCATCCACAGTCTCGGTCTTGGTTTTGCGTTTACATAAGCCGTAAAATGAAACGGAATTAATTTAATAATAAGTATACTAATTAAATAAAAAGATAATAATAATCAATACGAAACAATAAAACCAGATCAGCCTATTTGCTATTTTAATAACTCTAATTATTTTGTAATTCTATTTCAAAATTGTTGACCCGTACTTTTTTATTTTCTATTAAGGTCCATAATAACAATTCAATCCAACAATCTTTATTATTGTACATTTCATCTTTGATTGAAAGACGCTTAGCTTGCTCATATGCAATATGCAAGTGTACATTCTGCTTATCTGTGCTGGTTGCTGTGCTGTAAATAGCGTAGGAACTCTATCCGACGTACGGTTTGACGTCATTTTTAAAGCGAAGATGGTCATTTTCGATTCCTTTTTTTACATTAAAATGTTTGATTAGAAATTTGCCATATTTATTCTTCTAAACGACCCGCACGCTATTTTTTTAAGTTTGAACCAAAAAAAAATTGATGTGCAAAGACCCGATTACGTACAAAAATCCATTCACTAGTCATGTTTACAGATCTGTAACTTTTATTTCTTGTAAGAGCTCCTCCGTAAGACAGGCCGCAAGCAAGGAAACACAAGCTCACTTTTCTGATTCCATATTGTAACGGAAATGGCCTGGGGTTTGATGCAAAAGCGACACATGATCGAAACGCAAATGACCGTCAAGGCGCGCCAAGTCGATGAGCTGGAGAAACAAACCAAACATCTGGAAACGGCCGCACCCGACAAGGACATCAACGAAATCAAGGTGAAAAAGAGCAAAGTGGAGGAGCGTTTCCAGCTCATCAAGCAGCCCTTCATCGGAAGACAGCGACTGCTGGAGAAGAAGAAGGAAGCCCTCCAGTTCCGACGGGATGTCGAGGACGGGCTTCTATGGATAGCCGAAAAAATGCCCCTGGCAACTTCCACGGAATATGGCAACAACCTGTTCCAGGTTAATACGTTGCAGCAGAACAACCAGTCGCAGCAAACTGAAGTGGAGAACCACGAGCCGCGCGTTAACACCGTGTGCAACAACGGGCAGAAGTTGATCGA